AGACGCATACCCGTGATGTCACCACACGCTCTGCTCGTCTAGAGCTGCATTTCACCTCCTGGTATTAATAGTCTGTAAATAATAATAAATTATTTTCATTTTTCTGTCTTTTTAATTTATTGGGGAAATAATAATGAACACAGTCAGATAAACACAAATCAAATGAACATTTTGCCAAATAAAACAAAAAAAAAGAGCCAGGGGTCCTTCACACACGGCTATGCAGAGATAAGGCTGCTATAGACAGGCTGCGGTTAGGCCTGGCTGCCGTTAGCCTCGGAGGTCCGCTGGGTGACGCGGTCCTCTCAACTTCGGAATTTTTTTTTTAAATTACGCATTCAATCGGTAAAAGGACCATATAGTGACGCTTGAAAGTATAATATTCTCACCTCAAATGATCTTAAAACATACTTTTACTGAACAACGGCAATAGAAAAGAGAACTTTTTACTTAATACTCTGAGCCCTGTTAGTGCTCCATTGGAAGCTGCTGCCGCAGTGCATGCTGGGACAGCTGTCAATCTAAAGAACGGACAAGTCTGTTCTAATGCATGCTGGGTAAAGAGGGAGGGGCGAGAACAACATCCTGGCACTTTGTCAGTTCTCGGTCTGCTGTTCTTGTGAATTGGAACAGTACTAGGGCTGAGGATGATGATGTTTCACGAGTACACGAGTACATGAGAACGCACAAGTACACATAGTGAAAAACAGCATTTGTCCCTGCTGCCTTCCTTCACCCAACGTTACAATAACCTTCACCCAACGTTACAATAACACCTAGTCCCTGATTGGCTGACACGTTCTTGTCCATCATCATTCCATAATAATTNAGTCCCTGATTGGCTGACACGTTCTTGTCCATCATCATTCCATAATAATTCCATCTGCATCTCTAGAACATCATCTTTCACATAACTTGGCTCCTGAATGTTCCTGAAAGTGGGAATAACATGTCAATCACTTTGCTTTTTCAATTGCTCCATTTGTGCCAGTTGTGTTCGGTACTATTAAGCTGTGGGGGTTACTTCATGGGTTTTGCAATTAAACATGCTCATGTGACACTGAAACCATCTCCATAGTAAACATTTTAATTATTGGACATTTCCATGCTGGTAATGCCTCCTTGTAATTTGTTGAACAAATGAACATGAACAAATGAACATGAACAAATGAACAAGGATGAATCAGAGTTTTTCTTCATTGTATTTCAACCAATCTGCAACAAAGACAGAAATGAATGTATATTTCTCTCTTTTTATATATAGTGTTTCCAGGCTCAAACCCTCTGTGTGTAACACACAACCCACATTTTCTGAACTTTATTTGGTTAGGATGAAGCACTTGAGTGGGAGAGATGAGGATGAGGGGAGAGAAACAGAATCTGTTGACTTTATGTCAACAAAATACGGAAATCCTACCTCGGCTCTGACGGATTGTTGACAACAATACTCATGCTTTAAGGTTTTCAGTTTGAAAGGAAAAAATCTCACATGTTTGGCAACTGTTTGGCCAGAATCAATAGGTTAGATATTCAGCGTTGTGCAGCCTTTTTCAATCCATTAAGGAACATCTTAGGGAGAAAATGGACCACTGTAGAGCTTCAGCTAATGTATGGTGATGGCTCATGCACTGTGAACAGAAAGTCATGAATATAAAGTGTTGGTTTTGACCCTCTGTTGTGCTGAGTTGACAGCTGCTGAGCAGAGAGATTCAGATCGTACGTACCGGGCGGCGCCATCACACCAGCCTGCTTCCCCTGTGCTAAAATATCTCCCAGCTATTTCCAATTGCTCTCACCCTTTTGTTAATGTCATTCTCCACACTGTCAGTGAGTGCTGTTAGCAACCAGCTTAGTGAATGTGGAATGCACTGCTATGTCCGCAGAAAAACAATCTTCCCCCAAACTAATGCTATTTCTATGCTAATAATTTGCTAGTGAATTGCAGCTAAAATAAAGAACAGACTGATGCAAAAAGTAGAAGTCGGTTCTTCTGTCTTTTACTCAAAGTTTGCAGCGTTTTTCTAGATCAGGGATGCTCAAGTCCAGGCCTCAAGAGTTACTATTCTGCAACTTTTTGATGCACCCCATTTTTAACACTCATGAATCAAATGAGTGGCTCATTGCCATGCCACTGCTGAGCTAAATGAGGGGATTGAGCCTTTAGATTCATGTGTGTTAGAGAAGAGATGCATCTAAAAGTGGGGATAAGTGTGGGGTTGGGCAGAGGACAGTTCAGCCAGGGTGTGATCAGGACAGGCGGGCAGTGTCATGCACCTACCTTACAAAACTCAAATAGGATACATCACTCTCTATCTTCTGTCCCAAGCCTTACTGAAAGACGCAGCAAATGAAAATATTTCTTTACAAAGTATCCAACTTAACATATTGGCATCTGGTAACCAATATAAAGCTGCATTGTTTCTCTTTATGCACTCAAATAATAAAAATCTTAGATCATATTACAAAGGATAATAAAGGTAATTCTGAGTCGATATTTATCTTTTGCTAGACTCTGCATCACACTGACAGCACCAAACCAAAACACTGCATAATTGCATCATATATATTTAGTGCTCTGAACTTCCATATCGACGCGTTTTTTTGCACCATGTTTTTTTTCTCCCACACTGCTGACATTTGATCACTGCTGCACTTTAACAAAGGGAAATGTCATGAAGCTGTACAAAATGAAATTTCGTTTTGTTTACACTCTGTGTATATAAAAAAAAAGACAATAAAAGTTGCCTAAGTCTATCTTCCAGCACGTTAAGGTCACAGAGTAAACAGACCCTCTCCTCCTCAGAGAGACTCTACCTTCCCACTTCCACTGCCAAAGGGAGGCTACCAGCTCTGGCACAGAGAGACCTGTTTTCTTTATACCTTAAGTGTTTCATACATTTGGTACTTCTCTTTAGATTGTATATAATTTCTCAGATTGATTTTTTTTTTAAAGTTATTGAAAGATTTTGTTAAATTATTTTTTAAAAGTTTTAAATTATGTAGATTACACTGCAGTTTAATATAGATACATTTTGAGTGATGCATAGAGAATAAGGTGGACAGAAGGGGTAACCATTTGAGCATTTCTATGTAAAAATCTTGGTTAGGCTATCCTCTGGTAGTTGAATAAGGCGGTCTCAACTCTCTGCTTTATGATGCAAAGGTCCTAAAGCCGGGCTTACACTGTACGATTTTTTAACCTTTTCGGGCTGACTTCCCAGTTGTATGAGAATTTTTCAATCGTGCTGACTTTCAGCGTGACCGTGCATCGTGTAGTGTACAGGGGGTAACGAGGGGCGATCAGCCTCTCACGACCACCTACCGATCAGGAATCATGAGTTCGGACTGTAGTAGCCATGTTTGCTCAGCCATGTCTTTGTCCAAATACGTCGTCGCCTTTTCTTTTTAGGGCTTTCAGCAAACAAAATTGCACAAATTGCCAAAGAGTGAGCTTCATATTCCTCTTCTACTCGTTTGGCTTCCAGATAGACGAGTGAAAGTAGTTCCATCTCACTGCGGAACAGAGTCCGACGTGGTTTTTAGACGTACAGTGTGAGCAGGTAGATCGCATCAGAGCGTCAGGTCACACAGTGTGAGAACATACATCGTGAGCTGCAGCTGCATGCAACGATTTATAAAAATCGCACAATGTATGCCTGACTTAACCCATATCAACCACTACAGCTAGTGTAGCAGTGACCTTATGAACACCTAAAAAACATCCAATGGCTCGGTTCTGAAGAGCATTGATGTGTTTAAGTTTTTTGAAGCCCCAAACACCAGCAACATCCAGCAGGATTGAGCCAACAATAGATTAATAAGCTTTGTAAAAACAGAGAAACTCAGATCAGGTAAGATCTTCATAGATCTCAGATCTCTGCCCACTGATTCTGATAGACGTTTCGTCCCCTCACTAAATCATATGAATTCTTTAAAGAACTTGCGTACGCTAAAGATGTGTGTTCATACCTAAAATTAAAATCTACATCTAAAATATTCCCGGTCATGCTTAAAACATCGACACCTAATTCACAATTCCCAATATGAACCAATTAATTTATGCATACACATTTTAAAAGTTCTTCAGCCTTGGTATTTATCACATGTACCTAAAGCGTAACATCTGCTTTAGCTACACGTGACTCTGAGTTGGTTCTTAGTGAGGCTGTATGTCTACTCAAGCTTTTCCCGGGATCTGGGTTCTTAGAGGTAGAAGATGATTTTCTACATCCTTTTACAACTTAAAGAAAAAATTATGAATCACGTAATTGCCCTGGAGTGCAAATTTGGTTAAAATCCATAACTTTTCAGTTTTTTAAAACACATTGAAGCTTTGTTATACAGATTTTGGTGTGAAAAAAGAAACTAAATTAAAAAGACAGAAACCTCCATGTTTTGAAATACTGAGAAGTTGAGGACAGGGTCTGCCACAGCTTTGTTCTAAATACCGGAAGGTTACTGGTATAGCTCACTTATACTCAAAAAAATAATGTAGACTAAGGTTGTATTCTTAATCAGTATTTGCTGACAATTATCCATTTCTTATCTTATAAGCTGAAACGGCAGCATCTCAAAGCATTTTAAGTCTGGAATTTAGGAAATGCTTTTGAGATGAAATATAGAACTCTTCTATCTGCAGTGGTTTGCATTTTTCTGTCTGCCTCCTCACGATGCCCCACAGTTCCTCTCAGCTCAGCGAATTACGCCGCTGCCATGCAGAATAAAACATGATGTGTTGTGCTGGCCCGCCAGGGGCAGAAGGGCACAGTGACTCATCAGAATGGACATTATTTAGCTGAATGCATTTTTGACCAAAATCTGATCAAAGCAGAATCTCTGTAGTTGTTTGGGCTCGGCGTCGCAGCAAGCGATGTGGGGGCTACCATGCAAGCATCTGCATATTTTCCAGGTCTCCTGATGCAGCTGTTGCTCCTATGCCCACTTTTCAAAGCCTTCAATTAAATATATATTTAAGTATTTATTGTTTTGCTTTTTTCCAGGTACACCGAGGAGGAGATCCGTCAGAAAGTGAGCACATTCAGACAAATGCTGATGGACAAGGAGGGCGTTATCACCAGAGAGGGGTCTCAAACCCAACCTTTGTAAGTGACATCATATCCAGCTTTGTCTGGAAATGTCTGTCTTATCTAGTCTGTTCATTTCTAGCATGTTTGCATAATAACAGTGTCAGAAAATGCAGGACAATAGGATTGTGAGCATTAGTTGTCTAAAAAGTACCGGTAGCATCATTTGTGCTCCTTAAATCTTTTTTCTGTATTGTAAAGAAGTTTTCATACACTATATATTGTGTATAAAAGCTGTATTTATTGGTTTTTTTTAACATCATTCACTTCCAGGGGGAAACACTTTTATCACGTAGAGCCTTGGTGGTTTTCAAACTAAGATTTGGATGCACAAATCTGAAGCAAATGCAAATTCTCTTCTAATCCTTACGTGCTTAAAGTTCCACATTTGGACTTAAATATAGAAAAATCCCCAACTAATATTATAGAGGTCTTTTATCAAGTTTTTCAGACAGGAGATGCTCTTTTATCCATAATCAAGCTTCCGGCATAAGCTTCAGATTAAATGTTTGAGCATCCTTCTTATTAGAAGTGGTAAAGATCATTCTGATCTATTGGCTTTTTGGCATTGATCTAACTTTTAAAAATAGTCTGCAAATTTTTAAGAAGTCTGAGGTCGAGGTAACTTTAAAACCTCGGACAAATCCAGTTTCAGTGTTTGGCATTATTGTTGTCTTATATATCATGTTTGCTTTAAGTTTCAGCCATCTAGAACAGGGGCTCCCAAAGTGGGGGGGTTAACAGACACCAAGCAGGGGGTCAAGGGATGTTTTTTCCACAATCATTGTGATGTGATCCCTGAGGTATATTGTGAGTCAAAATATATAATAGAAGACATGAAATGTATGTATTCCTTTGAAATAAGTAGAAGTAAATTATCATTTATTTATCTAATACATGATTTGCTCCTCGGGCGTCGCACAATGGCAGCCAACTGCTACCCAATGGGCTGGGTTAAATGCAGAGAGTTCATTTTATAGCTCTGTACTTGCGATAGTGTAATGACAATAAAATGCTGGGAAAAAAAAGAATGATTCAAATATTAAACATACCATTAACTTATAAAATGCACAGTTAAGTGTCCCATTAAAAATAGAAATATATTTAAGATGATTCATAACTTTTTTCACTGACATTCAGTACTTGAATGTCTTTGAAAAATCATTTTATTCAAAATTGGATGTAATTATTTCCCTTTATTTGCACATATAAATATGGAGTAGAGTAAATGTATGTACGTTTAGGGGGTCGGCAGTCTGTTGCATCGTTATTTATGGGGTTGCATACTGAAATGTTTGAAAATGTTTTGGAAACATTTGATCTAGAGGTCGAACTGAGGTGAATTCTTTTTTAATTCATCTAAAAAATGCACCATTTATTACTGTTAGCAATGAAAGAAACCCTTAAGATGATTCTACTTACTCCATGTTGGATCAGGCGTTTAAGAGTCTCTTGAAATCAACAAGTAGTCAGCATTGTGCAGCATTGTGTTGTGCTCATATGATTATTCATTCAATAATTGAGGAGTACAAAGTATTTTTGAATTTAAAGGTTGGTTTAAATTATTGATATATTTGGTTTCCAATTAAGATGGGATTAATTTCGATTAATTAATTACAGACCATGTAGTTAAGTTGATTAAAAAATCTAATTGTCCCACCACTAGGCAAAACACAAAGCTACATAATACACCTCAAGTTACAAAGTCAAAAAAGTGTGTAAGGAAAAAAGTCGGTTCTCAGAGAAGCTTCAACCAATCCAACTATGGTACACAGCAAAGATGTGACCAAAGCAGTTCTGGTCAGAATGTCTGGAAACTGATATTGTGACAGAAAATTAACACTGCATATCAACACGTTAAAACATGTAACCCACATCTTGTTGTTGGGATGCTTACTAAAAAAGTTTGAATATTTTAGTTTGAACCCCTGGTTTTAGTCTCTTGTGAGTGTTAGAAATGCAATGATATTTAAAAGTCTTTGACAGGCTAGTCATGTGAAGATTAGTCAGAAAATTCCCTCGAGCTTTATGTAGAAGGTGAAAGGGAGCCAAGAATCTTTGATTAAGTCAGTCATACTGTTGGTGTAATCTTGATCCAAACTAAAGAAGAACCCACTCAGAGTCATGAGTAATGAGAACAGCAGGGCATAAGCATGGTGACCTTCTAAGCCAGTCCATCACACATCAGAGTTGATAGAGAGGTGTCAAACTGACCTACTGTCTGTCAGCTTATGACGGGTAATAAAGTTTATGCATCCGGTCTCTCTAACATGGCTAATGAGGATTCTGCCCTTCCTTGTACCTAAACAAACGTTTGACATTTACATAGAACATGTTGAGATGTGGAGGACTGCTGAGGCTGAAGTTATGAAGTTATACAAGGATGAATATATTGACATTTATGGCAAACGGTAAAGATTCGTCAATCTTTCATATTGTTCTGTCAATTAGACTTGACTGTAGTTAATGTTGTTTATGCTTCGCAGGAACTCTGCTGCAAAAATCATGTAGAAATACCTTGTCTGTCAAAACTGATTATTTACTATAAACCTGCTGAGAAACACAAAAATTATGAGCGTTTCTCAATATGTGTACTTGTGCGTTCTCATGTGCTCGTGTACTCGTGAAACGCCATCAACCTCAGCCCTAGTGCTGTTCCAATTCACAGCAGACTGAGAACAGACAAAGTCCCTGAATGTTGTTCTCTGACTGGAACTGGGCAGGTTTTATTGTTCAGTTAAAAATTGATATTATATTTATTGGACCATAAGTCCAGAATAAAGTCTATCTATCTATTGAGCTTCACCTCAAATGCTTGATGAGTGAACGCTCCCTATTCTGGCATGTTCACATTTTTACCTTTAAAACATGCAAACCTTTGTAGTGTTGAGCTTAAATCATTCACCATTGATCTTGTTTATTAAAATGAGATTATTATTAAACAGGATTTAATCATTTTAGAATAGATATATTTTAATATTTTGTATTCTTAAAACATTTTTTTAAACTATTAATTCAATCTGTAGGTTTAGTTCATTGTTTGTTATAATATTTTTAGCATGATGCTGTTTTTAATCATTTCTGTTTGAGCAAAGTTTGTTGATAGCCACATTTCACCAAGTTAAAAACAATCATCTCTGAATGTTTTTAACCTCAGCTCATTTCAACTTGGCACTTGTCACAGATTCTGTCAAACCTCTATTGAACATTGCTGATGTTTTTCACAGAAAGAGGAGCCCCAGATCAAATACTGCTTAAGGCCAAATACAAGCAACAGCTTTTATGGATTAGCATAAATCCTTACTTCCACATTTTGTAATGAAATAATATCATTGTTTTACTTCAAGGCTAGTTTTTTTCTCATTTCTATTTTTATTTTAAGTAAGTAGTTTTATCCCGGCCCTGGATGAAGCTGAAGACGACAAATACGAATATGATAAATCTATCAAATATTCTATTATTTAATTTAAAAAATAATAATAATTATTCGCAAATTTTAATTTAAATGTAAAATTTAAATAAGCATTTAAAATATAGACAAATAATGAACTGCAAATGGTAAGAAATAAAAACATATACAAATATATATAGGTCCTTAGACTTTTATTTTTCTTTTGTATATCAATGACATCACTGAAGTGTCAAAATTTCTTAAAGGGGAACGCATATGCAAAAATATAACTGCGGATGTCTGGAGAGCAGTGATTCGCCTACATGTTATGAATGCTGGCATACTGTAAATGATCAATTATAAACAGTTTAGTTTGTGCCTTCAACTAGTTGCCCATAGGAAGACATTACTTGGATATGACCTAATGGAATATCTTCAGAACAGCTCCAAATGAGACAAAACTAATATGGGTGAGTAGAACATGATGTAATAATGTAAAATCAAGGGCCCAATGAAAACAAAACGGCGTTCCCCTTTAATTTTATTTTATATACAGATGGTACAACCTTGTTCTATTCAGGGGAAAATATAAAAGAGGTGCATGGAGTGGTTGAAACTTAATTTGAGAAAAAAAAAATGGTTCACTAATAACAGATTATCATTAAATGTTGGTAAAACATTTAATGATAATGATAATCACGATAATGATAATCATGATATTTTTGTCTCAAATCCTGCTAAAAGTAGGTTATTCTTTGAGCAAAAGGGTTTTACAGTTTGTGTACCAGCACTCTATTTCAACTGCCGAATTAGTTTACAATGATTTCTATAAACGATTAATCAGAATTGATTTCAGTCCCAAGTTAGTACATTATGTTCTATCTTTTATTTATGTTTTCAATCAATGTTTTTAAATTAAGTTTAAAGCTCTACATTAATATAAAACAGAAGTCCATAAAAATTTGCTATGTGTTCTCCTGTTTAGACGTAGCAGTTATATTCAGCACATCATTTTTTCAGTGAGTTATATAACTGGAAGGCGAGGGCCCCTTAAGAGTAGTTTACGACTCTTGAACACAGCCTAATAAACTACCTAGCAGTGAGGATAGATGTGCAATCCTCCATTTCATATTTACCAGTGTCTATATTGATTTTCTGAAGACTGGATGAGAAGTGAAGGGGCGCATTTTGTTGAATAACCCAGTATGGAAATAATACAGAATCTGACCCAACATGGGCTTCACATAATGCTCCACTGTCAGATGAAAAATAGAGAGACTCCTTTCAGAGAACAGAAGGACTATTTTATAGATGTGAGTGCGAAGTTGGGGTGTTAAGTTAATTTTTCAGCTGTTCAGTCTTTTTTTGTAAAGCCTCATCTAGCAGTCAGGCTGTACTTTAATTTTAATCATCTTTTTTAGCAACTACAAGATTTAGCACTGCTACAGTATGAGGAATAATGAATTAACCCCCCCATCCCCCCATAAAATGACACCCTATAATAACTCTGTGCAGCAGCAAGAATAAGACTGATCCCTCAGCGGCTGAGTGGCTGTCTGAGAGAGGATACGAACGAGTTGCACCACTTTGTGCTGCAGCCCTGAGGAGGGACTTGGTCGCAGTTTATCACTGCCAGGACAAAGGGTGAACGGGGCAGCCTTTCACCAGTGCAGCAATGAGCATAGGGGACACTTGCTCATCTGCCAAACAGGGCGGCTGTCTGGCTAGACAGATGTCTCCTGCATACTGTAGCCTGGCACCAATTAGGAGATTAAGAACAGGGTGGGGAATTAGTTGATTCATCACTAATGACTGAGCTCAGGGAGCACTAGATAGTTTAAATTGTTGTTAATTGCTTTTTTTGTTGGCAGTATGTTTCATTGCTGCTTCCATAGGAGCCGTGGCCTAAAATTAGATGACATACAGGTTATTCCAGTTTTTTTACAAGGGCAATGTGACATATTATGGAAACAAATCCATCTTCCTACAAAAAGAGCTTCAAAAAGGCACAAAGACTTCTTTGCGGTCTATATTTGTGTAACAATATGATGCTGTTGAGGACCACAACAGTAAGAGGACCAGGCAGAAAACAGATTTTTTAATATCAAGTTGACAAACCTACTGAACACGATGAAAATACAGGAACCAGGAGGACAAAGAACCCAACAAAGAGCAAACTGGAAACAGGAAAATAAATACAAATGGGAAGTGACAGCCAGCAGGGAAAACAAGTCAGGGCAATCAACAAAAACACAGAACATGTGTAGATTATGACACCACCCCTCCCGCAAGGCCAAATACCAAATGCTAAGTCCATGAAGAGGAAAAAAAACTAATCTTGTGGGCAAAGATGGCCTTGTCTGAGAGGAAGAAAGCGAAACAAAAAAAAACAATTTTAGATTGGTGACCTGCAATGGAATTCAGGTTGGTAGCAGTGATGCAACACCCTTGGATGCTGATGGAGAGTTGTGCAGGAACCTTGCAGGCCCATGGCAAAGGTTATTGGAGAACACACTGAGAACCTTGTTTGAAGGTCAACCGTGGAGCATAAAGCCGCTGAGTTTCTGTCTACTGGGAGGTTGGCCAAGAGGTCTGGAGAGAGGGACTCTAGATACAGAGGAGCTCTAGATACTTCAACCATCAGAGGCGGTCTTAAGCCTGAGATCTCAGATGACTGGAATCCATGGAGAAGCCAGAAACCCGCAGAGAAGCCCTGAGAACAGAAATTAAAAACTATTTTCAAGAACAAGAGGTTGGTCCTCCTGGACACCCTTGCTGGAGCTGCGGCTTCAGGTGGCAGGAGGATGTAATGATCAGACGAATGTGCAAATGATACTGGAACCTTAGTGAGGCTCTGACCTGACACTTGAATCTTGAGGCAGGGTGGATCTGATGTGGAAGGGTCACCCAGACCCAATTTGAGTGGGGAGAAATAATGACATTAACACCAGGAACAGATGTTGTGTTTCTAGGTATTGGCAGGTGTACCTGACTAGTCAGCCAACAAACTTTTCTTCGTCTGACCCTCTGAGAAACAAGAGAGGCACCGTAGTCCAGAAAACTAAAGATCTGGCTTCACCTGAACTCCCAACCCAAATAGTTGGATCTCTTGCTGAAACCTTATCTGGGGCTGGGAAGGAGACTGCGGGCATATCAGCATAAAGTACTTGCTGAAAAGGCTCTTGGCATTGCTCTCAGAAGGTGCTTGTGTGGTGATTTCAGCTGATGGTTGTTGGATTTGGGTAGGTGAAGTAAAGCTACAGTTCAACGTACTGCTTCCTGGGCGGGGGAATGATCCTGAAGCTCCCGAAAGATGATTGCTCCTCCTTGCAGCTCATCCTCGTACTGATGCATATTTCTCTCTACCGGCCATTGGAGATACTCAAACTACTTCATTTGTTGGGCTTGCTGTCATAATGGTAGGAGGTGAATGTCCTTGATAGCAGGTAATGTAATTTTGGGGTGCTGGCGCAGAGACACATTTAAAACCTGCAGAAGAGTGAGGCCTGAACTTTAGGACTTCCTTTCTGGATTATAAATTAAGCATCAAAATGGGGAAGAATTCATGGTTGAAAGGGCCAAAGAAGCTGGTCTGAGTCTGAAACTAAAAAACTTTACGTCTACATTCATTTAAACTCTCTCATCTAAGCCGTGAATCATCTACATAGCCTTCAGCTGGTTGCTTCTCTCTGCTGCTTGTCCCACTCTGTAGGTTTCCTGCTCATTTCCTATGAGCTGTCATGGTAAAATAAGTTGTTTTTTTGGCTGCTTGGCAGCATCCCTGGTGGGCCCATCCAAGCTCAGCCAATTAAGGGCTCTGCTGCCTCGTGTCTTCCTAACAAACCGCCTCGCCCACTCTGCTTTCTCCCTCTAGATATCCAACATCACATATTTTCGGGGTTTTCCTCTCTGTTACCCCAGCCTTCCTCTCAGATCTCATATAAAAAGCTCCTTTTATAGCACAGGCATGTGTATTTGAACCTGTCACTTAGGAAATGTCATCCTTTGCTTTATTGAATTCTTTCGCCATGTCGATTCAGCATCTTATTATTACTCCTCTCTATTTTTAATCTTTGTTCAACTCATTGAAAAAGCAATACTTTGAGGTTATGTTTGTTTCTTTATTCAAAGTCCTAAATCCGAAACAACAATACAAGGTCCAACAGCTGGGGGAGTTTTTTTATGCATCGGTGGAAATGGTGCGGTCAGATTGGGTCCGTTACACAGGGGCATTAAAGAGGGACACAGGGATATTGGGTAAAGAATGATTAGAAATAAGCAGCCATCTGTCAGTAAATATGCAGCATATCTAAGGAGTTGGGAGGTTTTAACCCTGCAAAATGAGACCTAAATCTGAAAGCGGTGTTCTTAATCTGGGATTAGGAAAATTAGAAACATCCTAATAAAACTGCAACAGAAGTAAAATAAATAAAAACAGTTTTAGAGCCTTATTATAAATAGATGAGGGTCTTGTGGATGATATACAATGTCACACAAAAGTACACCTACACTTACCCCTTTTCACATTTTCTACAAACAAAATGTTCCAAATATTTTATTACTTTATACAAAAAAGTTTGAAAAATTCCAAGAGGTAAAAATTTGACCAGCACCCCTTAGATGGAATTAGAAGAACCACTACTGCCTGCAGCGCTGGTTAAGTATTTTTGGATATATCCCTTCCTCTTTGCATAGACCAGTCAAACTAGGTGGAGAGTATAAATGTTTGGGAACATAATCTCATTTGGATTAAAGAACCTTTGCCCTAATCTAGTTTTATCATCTCTAACAGGTTTCCTCCTCGTAGGGCTGAAAGATATGGAGCATACATATTGATAACACAATATTTTAATCTGCACTGCATTGCAATATATAATATATACAAAAATACTTACATATTTTCCATTCAATTATAAAAAATAAACCTTTAAATCTAAATTAAAAGGCTTTGTCCCAGATTTCATGCTGGTACATCTAGAAGCAAACAGCTGTAGATTAACATAAGAAAAGGCTTAAAATAATGCATTTGCATAGATTTAATGATAATTCTGCTTGAATAAAATGAGTGAGAATCTGGGGTGGGGTTTTGGGGATAATTATAAAACAATGTAGAGCATCTTGATATTTTTAAAGTCCATGTCCCATTCTCTGGTTTTGTATTTAGCTCCATCCAGCTTTTCCTATCCTCTCCACAACATGAAGCGGCCGCCATTGTGTTGTATTATGACTACGATTTGATTTCCTCCCCCAATGGATATAGTGGAGGGAATCATTTCTTTAATGCATTATATTTGATTTTATGAATATTGTTTGGCTTTAAACTTTAAAAAAATATATGATTGAATGGATTAGGGAAAAAATAGCTGGAGCTCTGACAGAATTATAAAAAATATTGCCTCATCCATCTCACGGCACTGAAGTGACTTTACAATAAAATGTAGATTTTTTTTATTATCTAGGGTGGTCCTTGCTTTTTGTTAATGTTTTCAAGCTGTGCTAAGCAACTGTTCATGGGTCTTTAAAATGATTTTCCATCATCTAAAGCAGAAAGGTAAAAAAAATTGTCCACACCACAGGTTGCTGGTATCATCTGATCCCCCAACTAACTACAGCAAACTTTAAATAGCTGAAGTGCTGCGCAATATGGCATGATAAGTATAGTGTCTTCTACCAGCAAATATCATGTTAGATCCTGAGGGGATTATCACAGTTTGCATGTTGCTGCCCTTTCCTTTATCATTCAGTCTGCACTCCACTGATGAAAATGTGAGTCACTCTGTAAAATTAGCTCTTCTATTGTTTCCCCTTCTGTTGTGGGTTGCCATGGACACACAGTTGGCAGCAGCAGCAGATTAAAGAGTAAAACTTTTTGTTTCTTTTGTTAGAAAAAGCATCACTTCACACCTTGATCCTTGACGCGTGTTCTTTCAGGGTAAACCACTTTCATTATCAGCCTGACGAGTATGAAGAGGACCCAGAGGCAGCTGGATATGAAGATGGAGACTATGAGGAGGACTACCACAGTGACAACAGGTGGGGTAAAAACCGTCACCCCTACTTGGAGGAATTAAAAGATCAGTGGAAAATATTTCTGAATTTATCCTTGTATAAAATGAAGTTTTAAAAGGCAATGGAAATGTTCATGCAAAGCAATGGAGCAATGCAAAAATGCCAACTGAAGTACTAAATGGGCCCAAAATATTTTATTTTATTTAAATTAAAAACAAATGTTTTGTGTTTTGTTTTACTTTTGTATTCATTAAGGAAATAAATGCTGTTTGAAGTAAACAAACAAGTAGTCCAATTTCTGTAGAGTTTGCCTGCTTAAAAAGAAAATGGTAAGATTTTTTCTTAAAGATTTTTTTTAATGGCTGCACAGTGGTAACCTGACAACAGCCAGATGCATGTCTCGCTCCGCCCAGCTAGGCGGAGTGAGACATGCATCTGGCTGTTGTCAGGTTAGCACAGTGGTGCATCTTGTAGCACAGTTGCCTTGCAGCAAGAAGGATTTGATTCCTGGCCTTTATTATGGTGGCTGACAGGTGCAAGTAAAATAGTGAAACGAGCTGCAAATACTTATGTGATGCAAACTTCAAAAGCACGCAAGCACAGAAGACAAATGCAACAGAAAAACACTGCAAATACAAAAGAAACTGTCTGCAAACTGGTACAGATGTGCAGCAAACTGCAACTGTTTTCTCCAGGCACTCCGGCACAGTCCAAAAACATCACTGTTGGGTTGATTGGTGTCTCTAAATTGTCCTTAGGTGCTTGTGTGACTCCCCACCATGACACTGACGGCTAAGCAGGAGAAGAAAGAATTTTTAAGATTTTTTTAGCAACTCTTGCTTTGTTGAATGGGCTCATTAAAGTCAGCTTTTAAGTATAAGGTCACTTTATTTCTTCTATCCTATTTGCAATTAAATAAAACTGAAAGCAAAATCTTGCTTAATAATTTGCAGCACCTGACATTTTCCATTGTAGGAAATGTTTTATTTTCTGCATTTCTTTAAAAGGGAAATTTTTCAGCTGCATCAAAGGCCACAAAGAAATGTCTTAGAGGGCAGCAAATGGCCTGCAGGCCACACTATGGACACTGCAGATGTAGCTCCTCTCAATTTCTCTACACAGAGATAATCATATTTAGTAAATCTACTATTTTCATGCATTGGTTTTGCGATTTGGCAGAACAGATTCAGGAAATGAGAAAATGTACACTGGCTATGTCATTGCTGAGGCACCATAACAAGACCAGATTACTATAATCTAAACCGAAAAGCTGAAAAGTATTATATAACAATCGTCTCTGAATGCTTTTGCACTTCCTGACTCGCCCTCTTTCTTTTCTCATTTTCTGGTTAATTCAGAATGAAAAGGAAATCAACCAGCTCTCCATCCCCTCGGCCAAAGAAAAGGAAGAAGAAGAAGTCTGGCCGTCGAAAGAGTCGGTGAGTGGAAGAAGCCTCTCCTTAAGAAGCTTCCAAACCTGCTGAATGGTTAAACGTAGTGCATTTAGGCTCTGGTTTAGTGAAATTGCATTTTAAATGTTTTTTTGTAAATACTGCAAACAGAGCGGTGTGCCATTACCTTCAGTTCTCCTTTGACAAGTTTGGAGAAGAAGTGAACGGCAGTCTGAAGCTCAGAAGTCATGAGTGTCTGCCTCCTCTTCTCTTCATCAACAGGTTTGGCAGCTCCTCGCCCACACGCAGAGAGAAGAAGAAGAAGGGTGGGAAGAAGCACAAGAGAGACAGGTGAGTGTGTTCTGGCTGTCATTAGTCATATTTCACCACAAACAATAAAGTCTGGGATTTAAAGGAGCTTCCTTAGGATGTAAATTCTAGAGAATTGTCTTAAGAGACATTCTCCTTAAATTTATGCCTCTTATTTCATCTTGGGAAGTCTAAAGTTTATTTTTTTTCTATATTTTTTTGTTTTTTTGTTTCTTAAGGTTTTCCTTTCAATATTACTCATATTATTTAGTATTTTACAATGTATTTCCTGTTTTTTTATTCCTACAGGCAGTGTCCATTTCCTCAGGGTGTTAAATATGTATTTCTGACACCAAATTTGTTATAGTTTGACTCAAATATGGTAACAAATAGATGGAAGAATCATCATAGAAATGACTTTAAATCAGATTTATTCAACAAAAACAAACAGATGCAGAGGAAGAGGAGTGACTCACAGCAAGAAGGAGGTTTTACAACATTTCCTGAAGAAACGGAGCAGTCGCATGTCATATACAATCAACAACAATTACCTTGGAAAAAAAATCCCAGAGGAAAGGCTTGAATCTGGAACACATTTTATCAGTGAAATTCAGTTTCACCTAAACTGAAACCTATTTCTACAGAAATATATTCTATTCCTTCTTCTTTTATTCATCTTATATTAATTTGCATCAACTTGAAGCTGTAATTGTTGTATTATTCCTGAAGAAAAAGAGAGAAAGAGATAAATAAAGGCAGAGAAGTTAAAGTAAAACATGACAGGAAACAAAACCGAAGGCTGAAGAAAGTCAAAAAGGTGAAAAAAAAAACATACAGGAAGCAAAGTTTTTGAAAATAATTATAGGGACACTATTAAGGCTGCCGCTCACAATGTTTCTGCTAATCGATTAATGCAAGAGTACCGTAATCTAGGCACAGAGCGCCACCGAAAATGAACACAGGAAGTCGGTCCCTGCAAGGACTGCCTTACTACAGGGACCAGGACAGGGACATGTGTTCATTTGATGATGTCATAATGAATAAGCTTACCTTAGGTCTATGTTTCTAATCCACCAGTGTTAGGATTAGAGTTAAACCACTGGTAAGGGATAAACTGGAGGTTTTGAGTTAGGTTTAGGTGTTAGGTCCTCAGACTTTAGATTTCTTCCAAACCTTTTGGGGAAAACCTTTTTGCATTTGACAAAATTATTTGGGAAAAAATATAGACAGTCAAAGTATTTAAAGATCTTTACAAAGAACAATCAGGGATCTTTATGGAAACATGAAATTAGACTATACAATAAAACCTGAGATTGTTTTAAAATGAAAGAATTTTATGAAAATTATTTCAAAGTTTTTCAGTTTAAGTCCAGTATGATGTTCTGGTATGTATTGTAAAAATAGCTGTCTCTATACTCTATTCATCTGATTTTAAGGGAATAATTATTGAATAGCAAAAAGTGCTTTTTAGCAGATATTTTATCGTATTTAAACCAATTAAAGCTAAAAAGATATTCCATTTAAGGACTTGTGAGTAAAGGCCATTTACTGACAAAGAAGGTGATTTATAATAAATGCTAAAATATTCATAAATGTTTAGTACAGTTTAGGCTTAATAAGAATGGGTTATACTCTTATGATATGGCCTCTGAGTATAACTGCACACTACAGTTAACAATACATCTTTTACTGAAATAGCTGACAAGTATTTAAATAATCACCATTAGTCTGATTGTTTCTACCTAAGAAAATAAGAAAGAAAATAAGAGGAAAAAAGCAAAAAGCAGTAGGTGAAAAAAAAAGTAAGGTGAGAAGCAGAATTTTGCTGCCATTTTAATCTTGTAATGCTTTGATTGGTCGAAGCTGAATGTCAATTATTCTTATTCAATGTGATAAAAGAGGATGTAAACATTTAGAATGTACATCCTTAGCAAACTAATGTATTTCCAGGTCAAACATGCCCCATGGTTAACAGAGGTTTAAACCTTTGCTTTAAAAGGTATAGCCTTCCTGTTACCTCCTGAAAGTGTCTCTCTCCTGCAGCCTTATGCTACGTTCACTCTGCGAGCAGCAGAGGCAGCAGAAGCAGCTAGTTTACATGCAAAGTCAATGGTTGACACGCATATTGGCGCAGCAAAAGGTCCCACAGTGCGTTTTAAGAAGCAGGAGCAGCGAGTCTGAGCAGCTGATGCTGCGCCTCATGAGCTTATGAGCATCTGACGTGCACAATGCGCTTCAGAAGCAGCAGCTGATGGAGATTAAAAAAAATCAACTTTTGTTGCTCGAGGTGCCACATCAACCAATCAGAGAAGCTGATCTGGGAGCTGACAGGGAGAGAGAGACAGTGCTGCTCATGCAGATCACTATGCTCACTCCTCTGAAACAGTTTATTAACACCTAGCGTTTAACGTTTATTAAAGTATCTGAAATTATGTTCGTATTTATTATTCTGGTGCCTGCAGTTTAGATAACGTACGTGAAAGGCGGTCTTAATGCTGAGGACAGAAGAACACAGAGTGTAACTTTCTTAACACTTTGCACCTGACTGGGAGTGAAATGCGATGAAATGGACTGCAACACCTGTCGACATGTGCTGTGAGAAAGCATCCTCTGACTTCACACACCAACAGGACGTCCTTCATAGATAAACCTGATATCATCAGCCATCAGACCAACTTTTCGACCGCCCAGCTAGAGCAGCGAAGATGTTTCAGCCGCACATCAGCTCTAAATTTGTACGAGCATCAAAAAAAAAGCAGCACGCACGTTTTTGCTGTTTGAGGTGTGGACGTAGAATAAGTGAACTAGAAACAGCCTCCAACATGTAGGTGAAAATTCACTTTCCTCTTAAGCATCGTCTACGTTCATGTTCTCCCTGTGACTTCCCACACACAGAAGAGGGTTGTTGTAGTTGGAAGGTTTAATATTTAAATTACCTCCTGGTCTGTTATTATTCACTGCAAATCATGCTGAAAATCATCTGATCCTGGTCGTCTGCTGATTCTCCGGTCTCTGGAAGAAAATAAATCCTAAATAGAAAGATTAATTTCTGGGAAAAATGACAACTTTAGGGACAGAAAATGAGAAGATTACCATGAAATAAGAAGAAAGGGGAACAGAAAAGCTATAAAAGCATCTTGCAGGAAAAACAATCTCTCAAAGAAAGGAAACGAATGTGGAAAAACAGGATGAAAGCAATGTGGCTGGGATGAAGAAGGGTATAGGATGTGTTAATAAAGACATTAGGAGGCAGAGACTGAGGGAAAGGGGAAACCGATGAAGAGCAAGAGCTCATCAAGAACAACTTGTGAAACGCCTTGGGACATCATAACAGCAATAAGCAATTGTAGAGAGGCCTCTTCCACCCGGTTCATTCCCTGCCTAACTGGAGGGGGGGGGGTGTAAATGTGCTGCTCTAATAACCCAGCCTCTACCGGGCTGCACAACACAAGAAAAATGAGCCTTCCTATAAATTGCTGAGCTGCTCTGCTGTGCTCTCCCAACTCTCATCCATCCAGACACATCCCCGTCCCCCCTGTTGTCCTCAGTCCCACTCCTCCCTTTCGTCCTCACTCCAAGGATGCTCTGCATTGCAGGTGATGTTGATGTATGAATAATGTATTGGGCAAGTGGAGCCAGAGAAACATGCCTGGTTGCCCCCCTGCAGACTTCCTGCTCTGAGGTTTCTCTTTCAGATATAAGATGAGGACAGGGGGCTCAGCATCCTGTCCCAGTAGAATCCTGCTGCCTTCTCACCTGCTGTCTCTAAAGCTAGCAGCTGCAGCCCTTCCCTGACCGCAATGTTTCAGCAGATTGTTTGCGAGAGACAAAAAAGAAAGTGCTAATTTGTCGCAGTACCCAGCTGATTTCTCCCAATGAGGAAACCGGGGCAGCCGAGTTTCATATCAGCCACAAACGTTACCGTGACAGCTTTATTACCACCCTTTCAGCAAGCCAACACTCTCCCTCCCACTGCATGCTGGAGGTGAGCAGGGGGACACATAGGGAAAAAAAGGGCTAGACTAATCACCATGGCAACTACGATGATGGCAATGCTGATATGAGGAGGACGACTCGGTCTTAATGCTGAGGACAGAAGAACACGAAGTGTAATTTTCTTTAAACACTTCGCACCTGACTGGGAGTGAAATGTGATGAAATGGACTGCAACACCTGTCAACAGTGCTGGGAAAAAGCATCCTCTGACTTCACACACCAACAGGACGCCCTTCATAGATAAACCTGATATAGTCAGCCATCTGAATGTGAACCTGGATATTTATTTGCTTCCATACATGCTTAGGAACATATATATATACTTTTTATAGGTTTTATTATATGAAGATTTCACTAGCTGCCTTCCCTTTATACATTAAAGTGCAAAAAAATTGTATTTACAGAAAATTAATTGGTTAAATGGAAACAATGCAATTGTTTTGCCTAAAAAGTTTTTGGATGTTTTTTTCTGTTTTTTTGAAGTTCTTATATTTCACAAAACTGCAATGGAAAGACTTTTTTCACATCACACCGGTCCTGTGATCAAGTGGGGTCTGTCTGCAGCAAGAGGAGACAGAGGCGTGTCATGCAGTCTTGCATAGCGCAGACAGATATACTTGATGTGATCTTCATCCGGATCTTACTGCCTTGGAAAAAGAGGAAGAAGACCAGGCCGTGGCTAAAATATGGATAAAAATATGGATATATCTCATGTGTTTACACGTGTTTACATCTGCAGCTGCCATGTTTTTTTTTATCGTATTGTAGTTATCGCATCAACAAACATGCAATTATGTGCAATTTTAATTGCATTTATTATTTAATTCAAATACCACAATTGCAAAACTTTGCATTCTTATTTTATTAGCATAATATCATCACAGTTTTGCACACATTTTAATGGAAACGCAGCTACTGTCAACAGTTTGGGTAAAGAAAATGACAAAAATAGCCCTAGAGTACTCAGATGTGCGTACCTCCCACATAGAAATGAAAATGCTGCATCATTGAGAGAGACAGACTTTCAGGCTCCTGCAGGCTGACCTGACAAGAGAAACTCTTGTTCAAACCGGACACATTTATGGACAACAAGCAAAAAAATAGACTATGTATGTTTTCAACTTCTCCATTTTATTATCATCATGTTATCATCATGTTCTTAAAATGAAGCTCTAGCGGAAGTTCAATTGAAGAAACTCTGACTTACCTCATCCATCAGAAGCTGATCCGTCTCTGACGCGACCCAATCAGCTTCAAACTACTCCTCCACGAAGCCCAATCAGCATCCTGCTTTCACGTCATAAGCACCTTCAAATCCCCGTCTCAGCCCACTATCCAGCAAACGCATGTCAGATTTTATTCAGACGACAATTCACCCACCTCCATCCCCTCCTCCGCCAT